TGAAGCTGGGTGATGGGTGTTGGAACTGAGTGGCAGAGTGAGCAGATGGCAGTAGGCAGAGATGGAGTGGGCAGAAGGGTTTTCTATATTGTAGGGGAAAAACATCATAAAATTGAGTAAAGCAAAAAGAAAGTTTTATTCAGCATATATTCAAAAAGGCAAAAGTGGGAAAACGGATAAGCATGCTGCCATAGCCATGTCTGCCTGAATCCAAAGAATATTACAGAAATAGGCAAGAATGGGAAAACGGACAAGCATGCTGCCAAAGAACAGTTACAGAGCCATCAGTACACATTAACACCACAAATGGGCAAAACCATTGAAAGCTTCACCTTTTCACTGATTGGCCAGAAACTCTGATCCTACATTTTGAAACGTCTTTTCTTACAGTATTGGTACAGGTTTCAGTAACTACGGTCAGGAGGGTCTTCACTGGTCCAACAAATTTCTATTCACTAAATGCTAATAGAAAAAGATAAGAGTAGAAAGTCTTTTGTGTTCTGTTTGATTGGCTTTATGTGAAAGTTTCCCTAAAAGATATTTTCCAAGATTATCTTAGCTATTGTCTTTATACCTCAGGGCCCGGTTGATGTGGCCTTGTGAGTCCTTGTGAGCCCAGCTCCATCTGGGTCACGTTGTCGATGCTCAAGGAGAGGGAATAATAACTCCAATATTATTTCCTAAATCATCTATCAAGTAAGAATGGGCCTCCATATGCCTGGGGGAGGGCTGTCCTTTCTGAAGCCCTTCATGTGGTCATCCTGCATCTGGGAACCTGCTCTCTCACCTGTGCCCTTTCCACTGTCCTGAGTTATGGTATCTCCAAGGTCCTCCATAAGCCCTTCTCACCCAGGTTATGGTCAGTTGTTGATGCTCCTGCCCACTGGACTGTGTGACTTCAGAGGCAGGAGGATCATCTGAGAGCACAGCCCCCTAGCATGGCCCTCAGTCAGTGCTGATTGAATACTTTTGAGCTCTTAGGAAGTTCTTCCTTTTGTTCAGTAAGACTCCCCCTCCTGCAACTTTTAACTAGCTCCCCTCCTCCCTCCCCACCCCACCCCCTAGAGCAAAACAAGAAATCAGCTTCCTTGTCATGTGATGCCCCTGAGATATTTGAAGAATGCTGTTTTCTTTCATTCAGCACTTAGGAAGCTGGGCACAGTGCCAATACCTCATTATTTTCTTATTCAGGCAAAACATCCTCTGCTCTTTCAGTCACTCTTCATGTGATGTAACTTCCAGCCTTCTCACTGTCTACTTCATTCCAGTTTGTCAATGTTTCTCTCAAAGTGAGGTGCTTGGAACTGAGGACAGGCATGTGGCCACATCACTGTAGACTCGTGCTCAGGCACTCTGGGCAGAGTTGAGGCACAAAGGGCAGGGAAGAAGATGCTCAGTTTGATAGATAGTGACAGAAGTGGGAGGCTGTGTAAGATGGAGCAGGAATGACAGGGCTGTATTGTAGAGGACCTGGAATACCAGAATAGGGAGTTTGGACTTGATTCTGTAGGACCTGGGAAGTCCTGGAAGGATTTGAATGATGCCTTAGAGCAAGGACACACCTGTCTCATTCACCACACAGGGCCTTGCACATAGAAGCCCTCAACAAATATTTACTGACATGACTTCTTTTTTTTTTTTTAATATTTTATTGTACTTCAGGTGAAGGCTTACAGAACAGATAGTTTCTCATGTAACAGTAACACACATGCTGTTTTATGACATTGGTTAACAACCCCACAACATTTTAACCCTCTAAATTCTCAACTTTTTTTTTTTTTTGGTGAAAATACTCATAGCCAAAGATACGCCATTTCAAAAATTTTTTTACATACACATTTAAGTGACATTGACTACGCTCTTCTAATTGTGCTGTTATTCTCACTTAAGATGAAGGCTTACAGGACAAAATTGTCTCCCATTTAACAGTTACTACAAATGTTGCCCTATGACAATGGTTAACAATCTCACAACACATCAACAGTATCCTTACTCTACTTTGTGTTCCCTATCATCAGCTTCCTACTCCCCTTCTGCCTTCTGGGCCTTATCACTGGACTCCTGTACCTCGTTACTCTCATGGTTTTACTGGGCTGTCCACTCCCAGGCTGAACAGTGAACCTCGAAGGTAACTTCGCCACTGAGCTAAAAGGGTGTCTGGGGGCCATACTCTCGGGGTTTCTCCAGTCTCCTTTAGGCCAGTAAATCTGGTTTTTTTTTTTTGTGAGTTAGAATTATGCTCTACATCCTTCTCCAGCTCTGTCCAGAACCCTCTGTTGTGATCCTGGTCAGAGCAGTCAGCAGTGGTAGCCGGGCACCATCTAGCTGTACTGGACTCAGTCTGGTGGAGGTCTTGGTAGCTGTGGACAATTAGTCCTTTGGACTAATCTTTTCGTTGTATCCTGTTCTCTTCATTCTCCCTTGCTCCCGAAGGGATGAGACCAGTGGAGTATCTTAGATGGCCGCTCACAGGCTTTTAAGACCCCAGACACTACTCACCAAGGTAGAATGTAGAGCATTATCTTTATAAGTAGTGTGACATGACTTCTTTGAAGGCTATGTCTGTGGATGTCTCCATGATGTGCCTTTGATAAGACTCTGCTCTCCTGCTTTCCAGGCCCTGTCTTCATTTGTAGGAGAATATATGATACCACCTGTGGCTGTATTTATCTACTAGAATGTAGATAACATCTTCTTCCCCTTGGGAGCTGGAATATGGAGCTGGGTCAGCCCTGGAAATAGCAGAAGTCGGGGCATGGAGTCAAGAGACCCAATTTCTGAGCCAGGAGGTGTAGGGGAGCCAGACTTCTCCAGGGAGCAGACAGGCTGAGGCCTCAGGGATGGTCAAGACTGGGCTGGAGGCAGGCCCTGAAGGGGGACAGGTGTCCAGACTAGAGCCACAGGCAGGGCAGAACAGAGGTGACAGATGGGAGGTCCTGTTCCCATTTTGCTTCTAATTAGCTAGCTGAGTGGCCTTGGGAAAATCACTTCACCTCTCTGAAACTGTGTCCTCATCTGAAAATGAGGAAATTCACTTGGATGAGCTGTCAACCCTAAGGTTCTCTGGCTGTATTTGAGCATTCATTCAGCAGATATTTCTTGAGCATCTACTGTGCTCCAAGGATGGCACGAAATACCAGTATGTGCCAGTAAACTGACATCATTCCTGCCTTCATGAGGCTTACGATCTAGTTGAGGGCAGACAATAAACAGATAAACTAGCAAATACAGAGAAAGTTGCAAATTGCCACTAGGAATGGAATAGAAAGCAGGTCTGGGTGTGAGCTTCCTTAAATGGGGTAATCACAAAAGGCTGCTCAGAGGAGGTGATATTTAAGCTAAGACCTGAACAATGAAAAGAACAAGCTATGGAATGATCTGGGGAAAGAGTGTTCCAGACAGAGAAACAGCAAGTCCAAAGCCTGAGGCAGGAAGGATCTTAGCATGTTCATCCTGGAGGATGAGTGGCTGAGCCAGAGTGAACAAGGTGCGGGATGACCACAGCTGAGCATTGGAGGCTCTGGGGCCACTCACCTCCTCTTCCCTCCTTGTCTGAGTCTCAATCAATAACTGAGAGGCTGAAGGGAGAGCACTAGATTGGGAGTCCAGCCAACGAGGGATCTAGGCCTGGCTCCACTCCGTCTCTGAGTGTTCCTTAAACAGGGCTTAAAAAAAAAAAAAAAGGGCTTAACCTCTCTGTAAAATAAGTGGGTATGCTTCTTGATCTCCATGTCCCTCACAGTTTTAACAAGTATGAATCCAAGCCAAGAAGTAGGAGGAGCAACATGAGCTGTGGAGCGGAGGGCCAGTGGCTGCCAGTCTGTGAGGGATGGAGAAAAAAATTGAGGCTCAGTGGAGACACATGTTTGTGAGCAAAGACGTACAGAAAAGGATGGGGGCTGTGGACAGACCTGAAAAGGGAAGGTGTAGAAGAGGAAGAGGAGTCCCTGGGTGGTGCAAATTGTTAATGTGCTTGGATGCTAACTGAAAGGTTGGAGGTTTGAGTTTACTTAGAGGTGCCTCGGAAGACAGGCCTGGTGATTTACTTCTGAAAAATGAGCCATTGAAAACCCTATGGAGCACAGTTCTACTGTGACACACATGAGGTTGCCATGAGTAGGAATTGACTCTATGGTACTGGTAGAAGAGGAGGACTAGCTGTGTGATTTTGTTGTAGGTCCCAAGGAAGAGAAAATGGGCTTACATAGCAAAAAGAAGGGTTGAGATTGAACATTGGGGAAAAATTGTTTTAGGTTTAATTGTGTCCCCCCAAAATATATATTGGAGTCCTAACCCCCGGGACCTGTGAATGTGATCTTATTTGGAAATAGGATCTTTGCAGATGTAATTAGTCAGCATGAGATCATACTGGAATAGGGTGTGTCCTAATCCAATATGACTGGTGTCCATATAAAAAGAGAAGAGACACAGAGATACAGACACAGAGGGAAGACAGCAATATGACAATCGAGGCAGAGATTGGCGTTACACTGTCACAAGCCTAGGAAGCCTACCAGAGGACTACCAGAAGCAAGAAGATACAAGGAAGGACCCTCCCCTAGAATCTCTACAAGATTGCATGGCCCTGCCAACACCCTGAATTTGGACTTCTAGCCCCAGAACTGTGAGACAATAAATTTCTGTTGTTATAAACCACCCAGTTTGTGGTACTCTGTTGCAACAGCCCTAGGAAATGGATACACATGTAAAATGCTGTTCTCCGGAGGGTGTTTGTGTAGGTAAGATTCTTGGAGTAGAGCCTCCCACGTGGAGGTAGGACAGTGGGTAAAGTGCCTTAGGGGCTCTTCTAATTGGAGGAGTCGGAGAACTGTGATGTCCTGTAGCAAAAGAAGCCCTGGACTGCTCCTCATGGGCCTTCCTGAGTAACCCCAGATGGATTCACCTCTTGTTTGGGGCCTCATTTTTCCCAGCTATAAAACCTGGCAATTGAACTGGATGTTCTCTGAGATCTAACTTTTTCTGTGACTTCCTTTCTCTAGGGCGTTCAACAGTTCTTCCTCTCAAATATCCAACATGACAAGCGGCCCCTGATCCTGGTGAGCCTGGGAACTGAGCTGATACGGGTGAGGAAAGAAAAATTTGAAAAATTGATTGACAGTGAGACAAGAGAAAAGTTGTCCAAGTTCAATATTGAATATCCCAGGTTAGTACTGGAAATGTGCATAAATCCTGTCAGATCAGAGGAATAAATTTTCACCTGTTATTTAGTAAAAGTAAAGAAAAAATGATAATACCTAATACTGACAAGGGTGAAATGAAACTGGTAGTTGTTGGTATACTGTAAATGGCTAAACACTTTTTTGTGTGTGGGGAGGGGAGGGCTAAAACGTTTTTGTAATAATTTTAGTATTATGTTTCAAGGGCCCTAAAACCGTCCCTACCGTATAAGGCAATGATCCACTTTCTGTGAGTTTAAATAGCCAAAATATGGGGAAATTCTATATGCATTAAGGTGTTTGTAGCAGCCATATTCATAATAGAGAGAAAAATATACAAACAACCGACACTTGCCATACTAAGGGAATAGCGTAGAAAACTGTGATACTTTTCCGTGATAAACTATAACTTTCATTTAAAAATCAAGAGTTTAATGGCTCTATAGCCACAGCGTAAAAAGGATGATACAATGATACATTGAAAGGGGTGGGTACATAATTGTATACATACTATGTTCGTGCCTTTGTAAAACACTGAAGTGAGAAAAACAGAAAGAAACAAACAAAAACTATAATACCTGTGTGTGATGGTTAAGGTTGTGTGTCAACTTGGCTGGGCCATGATTGTCGGTGATTGGACAGTTGTATGAAGTTGTGATGACTTCCATGATGAGATCTGATATGATGTGATCACCTCTATGATGGGATCTGCTGTGAGTAGCCAGTCAGTTGAAAGGGAGTTTCCTTGGGCATGTGGCCTACATTAAATATAAGTGAATATTCTGGCAAGGCTTGGGGGCTTTTCTCATTCTGGATCCTGCAGCTGGCTCCTATTCATCTGACCTCCGGTTCTTGGGACTTGAGCTAGCAGCTTACCTGCGGTCTTGCCTGCCGATCTTGGGATTTGTGCATCTTCGCAGCCTGTGAGCAAGAGCCCTGCTCTCCAACCTGCCCATCTTGGGTTTGCCAGCCCCTGCAGCTATGTGAATCAGCAGAAGCCTCTATCCTGACCCACGGACTTGGGACATTCCAGCCTCTACAACTGTGTGAGCCATTTGCTTGATACAAATCTCTCTCTATATATGTATTTATATGCTTTACTGGTTTTGCTTCTCTAGAGAACCCAGCCTAAGACACTGTGGTATTGCCAAACTTGTAATAGTCATTCTCTCTGAAAGGTGGGATTAAAGGGGACTTTCTTATTATATGTTATAAAGTCTTCCCATGTTCAATTGTTTTTGCAATCAGTATGCATTGCTTTTGTAATAAGGGAAAAAAAAGATACTCTTTAAAAGTTGTATCATTGGTGACACCCTAAGTGAGTTTTCTCCTTTTCTCTATTCTCCAAATTTTTAGCAATGATGTCTTTTATAATTTTAAAAGATAAATATCTATCTTGAAAGATTTAAGTGTTTTTTTTTTTAATTTGGCTTTTTCATAGTTTCCAGAATTTCCAGTGTGAATGTTACTGCTTTTATAGTGAAAAATAACTTTATTTTTAATGTTAAAAATTAATTTATTACACAAACCAGTAATCTCAAGACTGTTTTGATCTCACACTGTTACTAAAAAGTGAAAGTGTACCCCTTTTGTGTGTATGTGTATAAACATATATATGTAGTATAAACAGCATATATATTAATTAATTAATTTTTATTTATTATAACCATATATTGCTGTACTAATATATTATATGGAGCCCTGGTTGCTCAGTGGTTAAGAGTTTGGCTGCTAACCAAAATGTCGGCAGTTTGAATCTACCAGTCACTCCTTGGAAGTCCTATGGGGCAGTTCTACCGTGTCCTATAGGATCGCTATGAGTCAGAATCAACTCGACAGCAACGGGTTTACATATATATATAATAAAACATACAAAATGGATTTTTTTTAAATGAAGCAAAGATAAATATAAATGAAGCCCTACTAGTTTCTTCCCATACCTAGTGGATATTATACAACCCCTGGGTGGCATGTCTCTTACCCTCAGTTTGGGACCTATAGCCTCAGCCCGTGTAACAGCCTTACCACTGGTCCCCCTGCCTCAGTCTCCTCCCTGTTAGATCCTTTCTGCACACTGTGGTTTTGCTAAAACCCAAATCTGATGATGTTAAACTCCTGCTTACAACCTTTCAGTGGTACTTAGTGGTTTACGGGATAAAGTCTAAGCTCATTGCCACAGAAAAGACCCTTCATAGTCTGGCCCCCACTGACCTCGCCTGCAACACCTCCTGCCACCTCTAATCCATGCAGATTGCTTCCTGGATCCTGCGCATACCTTGCCTCTGTCAATACTGGCCCTTCTGCCTGGAATGTCATTCCTCCAATCCTGCCCCCTTTTCTTCAGGTTAGCTCCTAATCATTCTTTAAGATTCATCTCCTCCAGAAAGCCCTTCCCTGTCTGGCCCCATATTGGGATAAGTACCCCTTTTCTGTACACTCATAGTACTCTATACAGCTCTATCATTGACCATTTGTTCTTGTTAGTTGTCATCAAGTTGGCTCCAACTCATGGCGGCCTTATGTATAGTAGAACAAAATGTTGCCCAGACCTGCATCATCTTCATGATCATTGTGCTATATTTGGGTCCATTGTTATGGCTATTGTGTCAATCCATCTCATCGAGGGTTTCTCTCATTTTCACTGACTCTCTCCCAAACATGATGTCCTTTTCTAATGATTAGTTTTTCCTAATGCGTCCAAAGTGAGCAAATCAAAGTCTCACCATCCTTGCTTCTAAGGAGCATTCTGGTTGTATTTCTTACCATGTTGTTTTATAGTTATGCTTCTATAGCTCTTTTGCCACACTTGATTAATTGCTTCATGAAGGCAGGGATTGTGCTTTGTCTGCCTTCAACTCTAGCATCTTGTACAGTACTTGTCACATGGTAGTTGCTCAATAAATGTTGAATTAATGAATGAATGATGGGGCATACTCATTGCAGAAAACTGGAAAATGCCGAACAGCAAAAAAGGTGAAAACCAAAATCATTTGCAATCCTTTAACAATCTGAGTTAGCATTTTGTTTATTTCCTTTTAGTGTTTTTTTCTCTGTATGGATATGTACCAGATGTGCATGTATCATTCATGCATATATAGCTTTCATAATAGAGGTCATACTGATTATACAGTTTTGCATCCTTCCTTTTTTCTTTACTTGTGGTGATATTGTGATCATATATGGTTCTGCCAGCCAGTGTAGAAAGCAAGTGATTCCAGTGGTAGAGAAAGATGAAGTGTGAAGACAAGCAGATCTGCAGAGTATTGCAGCCATGTCCAATAAGCACATAACAGAATTTGATGTGAGATCTGTGTGACCTTGGACAAGTTATTTCTCCTCTCTGGGCTTCAGACCCCAATATGTAAAACAAGGAAATCAGACTAAATCAGTGTGTCTTAGGCTGGGTTCTCTAGAGAAGCAAAACTGGTAAAGCGTATAAATATATATATAAAGAGATTTATATCAAGGAAATGGCCCACGTGGTTGTAGAGGCTGAAACATCCCAAGTCCGTGGGTCAGGATAGAATTCTACTGATTCATGTAGCTGCAGGGGCTGGCAAACCAAAGATTGGCAGGTCAGAGAGCAAGGCTCTTGCTCACAAGCTGTGAAGGTGGACAAATCCCAAGATTGGCAGGCAAGACTAGGCAAGCTAGGTAAGCTGCTAGCTCAAATCCCAAGAACCAGAGGTCAGATGAACAGGAGCCAGACTAGGCAAGCTAGGTAAGCTGCTAGCTCAAGTCCCAAGAACCGGAGGCCAGATGAACAGGAGCCAGCTGCAGGATCCAGAGCAAGCAAAAGCCTACAAGCCTTGCCAGAGTGTTCACTTATATTCGATACACCCAAGGAAACTCCGTTTCAACTGACTGGCTACTCACAGAAGATCCCATCATGGATGTGATCACATTATATCAAATCTTATCATGGAGGTGATCACAACATCATAGGACTGCCAAACTACATCATAACTGCCAAACCACTGGGAATCACGGCCCAGCCAAGTTGACATACAGCCTTAACCATCACACAGTGTTTCCCAAAGTATGGAATATGTTCTACAGAAGGTTTACAAGATGATTTTAGGTGGTACACAATTCACATTTTTAGTGTTAGCAGTTATGTATTATTCTAGTATGAATTAGAAAAACGCATGACTAGCTTACTAAATCCATGATTTGACCAATCTTATTGCTTAGGACAAAACTAAAGTAAGTATTAATGTAAAAGAAACTGAATAGATTTAAAGAAAAATCATTAGTAGATTAAAGAACTAATGGGATGTGGATATGGCAAAAATTGGGACAGTTCTGTGAGAAAAGTTGAGAAACACTGGGGGTTCCTTCTAATTCAGAGATGCTGCAATTCTGATTCCTGAGTACTACCAATAAAGAAAATGGTTATTTAGACCCTGCTATTCAAGGAAGGAATTAAGGAGTCTTACTCCTTGCATAATGTCTGGCACATGGTGGGTTCAGTTCACATTTGTTGAATTGGAATTCAGTAAAGGTTTACATAGATTTGAGGGTGGCAGATGTTTGTGCACTTGGCATCTATGCTACCCATCAGCACTTCGCTGCAATCATATATAATGCTGACAGATGGAATTCTGTCGTATTCATTAATTGTTGAACTCATGGTTTTTCTAGACTGCTAATGCAGGCAGAAAACATATCCATCATCTAACTCAAATCCTTCATGTTTTAGATGGGACTCTGAGGTCCAGAAAAGGAGAGGTGACATCCCAAAAATCACACAGTGGGGCAGACACTGTCCTGTGAATGCCATGGGCCAGATGACCTAGAAACTCATCCCCTACAAAGCATAGGGAATGCCATATAAAATGTAATGAATAGCTGAGTTCACAAGAAACTAGGGGAACTCCTCAATGACCAAAAATGAAGAGGATCCTAAAAACCAGAGCGCAAAGTGTCATCTGATGTTGGTATTGCTTGGTGGGGAGGCGGGGGGGAGAGGCATGGTTTAATGGACGTCATAGACTGAAGTTTTAAAGCCTGCAGGGACAGATGAAACTTTCAGCCCAGGTAAGGAAGGGTGTTGGAACTGAAATCTCTGCATGAAGCTGGGCCCCTAGAAGAGCTACCTCTTTTAAAAAGTGAAAAAGTAGACTACAAATCAGTATGAGCATCAGCATCAGGAGGTGATATGGCATCTTGTCCATCTTAACTTGGATTCTGGGTCCAAAAAAATAAATTATCCCCTAAGAATTTGTAATCACATGCTTGCCTCCTCATAGGCTTTGGTGAGTCGCTTAGCCTTTTTGAACCCGTTTCCATGTTTGTAAAATGGAGTGGTTTTAAAGATTAAATGAGTTAACAATGTAAAGTGCTTGGCACAGGGTAAGTGCTGAGTCAGAGTGAGAGATTGTTATTTATTATGTCAGAAATTGGGAGTTAATGGAACTCTTTAAGTGGAAACTATCCACTGCTGTGTTGGTAAATGTTCTCCGGGAGGTGGGAGGTAACCCCGATTTATAGTGCTTTCCGATTTCTGTGGTGTGAATACTCCCAGCATGGCCAATTTCAAACTACCAGCCTGATGTCATTAAACATGGAGTTGAGAAGAGATGCACACAGTCAGCTCCCACGAACTGATAAGAACTGGCTTCAGCACACCCCTGAGACTGGCAGGAGTGGATTAACCAGTAAGCAAGATACGTACATGCTTATTTACTAATCTGTACTGAACAATTTCACGTGGAATTCTACTACT